GCAGCAGCAACTGCAATTGGCAGTTGACAACAGCAATGGACAACGGGCCAATCAGCAACATCTTCGTTTGCCGCTGCGGTCGCAGTTGCTTTTAAGGCTTTGTCATTAATCAAATGGAATTGAAATGCGCCGCGTGTACATCACACGGCGTTGCTGTTATTGTTGTTGTTGCTCTTGTTGTTGCCTGTGTTTGGCGCTTCCAACATGCAGCGCCCATTTGGAGTTTGCCATTTTTGCGCATTTTAATCATGCTTGTCTCGCCTGAAGTTATTTGGCTTTTTACGTTTTTACGTTTGGTTATGCCAAAGATCTGCGCGCTCTGATAAAGCGCTGTAGACGCGTCTACAACGGCTACGCTGCCCCACAACCACTGCCACTGCCACTGCCGCGGTCAGCGTCGCAGCGCGTCGCCCGCCAACGCTGGCCAACAAGCAACAACAGTGGTCGAAATGATTAATACATCTTGATGCTATTTGGTTTGTAACGCAGGCCAATAAAAACGTTTCTTTTGATTGACAATGCCAGCCAAAGTTTGAGATGCTGTCCGTTGATTACTTCATTAGGCGGGCCTCGGTTCGAAAGTTGCTGCTGCTGCTGCTGCTGTTGCAGTTGCATTTGCCGGCGAAAACATAGCTGGAAGACCATTTGATTCAATTATGCATTTGCATGCAATTGAAACATAAGCCCGCTGCAACAGCTGCCAGCCGCGTCCCATCCGCTTATCAACCTGTCCGGCTATTGGTCAATTGGTCAGCACCAGCAGCCACAACTGCGGCCGTTACGCGCATTTGGCCGGTTGGGGCAGTAGCCTTTCAGTCGGTTGGTGGGCGATAATTATCTGGTTGAAAAATGATCGACTGGCTTATGGCATGGTGCAGAGCGGTCTCACTTCGCTAACGATGAACATTAGCATTGCAGAAATAAATGTGAGCGAAAAAAGAAATCAATAAAATATGGCTAAATTTGCAGCTGCATAAGTTCGTTTTTATGAGCTTCCATTCGCCTATGATGCGTCTTTCAGGCCGTTATAGAATTGGCCTTTTTTTTTAATTACGCAGCATACAAAATTTAACAGCATAAATATCTTCCTGCTTATAACGATGTGGCAAATTATATGCCTTATACCTTATTAAGTACTTACTTATGTACTTACTAAGTACTTCTACATTTTATACGCCTTTCCAAATGTTAACAGAATTGCTGAAGAGCACTTTCAACCAGTTACACCAAATAAATTTCGCCTCTGTTTAAATACTTCTCAGAAAAACTTCAAAACATATATGGAGTACTAAGTTATCTGGCGTAAGATCCTAGAAAGATGAAGAAACCAAATGCGGTGCTTACTTAGCAACCACTTTTAAAAGCAACCACCTTCATCTCAATCTAGCTTAGGTCAATAAATATTCTATTATCGACAAGTGCACATACAAATCCAGAGATATTTTCACTGATGGCTCCATTTTAGCCAATCGAAGTGCAATTTGATTGCGCTACGTGAGTCAACTTGTTGCCTGTTACGAATTCTCGTGGCTCGTCTGGATCTACAGGTTTATTTTTTTTTTTGCTGCCGCATTGTCTTCTTTATCTTTCTTTCTTTGGCAATTTCACTACAATTGTTGAATTATTTTAATTGATTGAGCTGGGTTGGGGTTGGGGACTGGTTTTCATTTGAGCATGTCTGCAAACGGCATCTGTACGCATTTTGCCATGGCTGTTGCCTATTGGTAATTGAAACTTGTTAGTGAAGACATTAAAAAATCGTTTAGCACGGTATTTAGGTTAAAAATGCGTGGAAAATCGTGAAAAAATCGACAACAGGAGCACAACAAAAAAAAAAAAACTAAATCATTTGACAAGAAATTGCGATCAAACCAACCGAAGCAGAAGAGCTCAGGCGTGTGATTTTTAAGGCAAACTTGTTGAGCAGATGAAAAGGGTAAGGAGGCGGACAATGTTGAGGAAAATTGTGTAACCACAATATAAAAATTCCTGCACATAAACTAATCTCAGCAACGGCGGTGGCTTTTGACTACCGCATTTTATTTTGTCTTTTTTTTTTCCTTTGTATTTGACGCCCGCTATGGCGGGTCGCAAGATGGAGGGATGCTAATCATGCCCGACCATGCACACCAAAGAAATTGTGCCGAAAACTTCATAATTTTTGTTGTTGCTGTGTGCTCTTTGCATACTTCAATAAATTTCCCTGGCAATTTTCCTTAGCAATTTGCATGCCAAACAAAGCCAGACCACAGCACAATATATTTTCCGAGACCTCCGAGCCAAGACTTAACTGCATGTCAAATAGCACACGATGCAGACTTGTATGTGTAAATAAATATGCCAAAATTTCGTTTAATTAAAAAAATTATTGGCGCATTTTTATTTATGGCCCATAATCGAAAAAACCCCCTCTTTCGGCAATCCAACAAAATTGAAAGCAACATAAACAAGTTACTTCAAAAACGAATTTCAACTCACCGAACATGAAGTACGCTCTTTGAAATAATAGGAAAATTAATATTAAAAAAAAAGGAAAATAATTGTTTGAATTTGTAATCTTAATAGTTTTTTGTTAAGATATTAGTTGGTGTAAAAAGTAAAAATATAGCTATGTTAACTAATATCTGAGGAACAGACAAGAGACTGAGAAATTGTGAATTTAGTTAAATACCTTATTAACATACTTTATTTGTTTACTTAGCATTAAAGTTAATGTACCCTTGAAGGAGTTAAGGTAACCTATCATGATATCATGTTTTTTAAATGAAGCCGCTGCGGGCTGTTTGCATTGGCCAAAATGCGCTAACAATTTCTACGATTACGATTGCAATTGCTATGCAGCATAGTGAAATAAACTGCAATCGCAGCCGCTGCCGCAGCCTCACTCAGAGTCGCGGCCACATGCATCTTCATCTTGGCTCATGATGCATGTGCTGGGCACATGCACGTACATGATTGGCCGCCAGGCAGCCGATCAGCCAGTTATCTCTGGATGTACTATATGCACGTTCCAGGCGCGCGGCTGCGCAGCCTGTAAACTTTCTTTTTGTTTGGGCCACAGTCAAATAACAATAATCGTGGCCAAATTAGTCAATATTTGCGCCCCCAAAACGCTCTAACAAAAGCTTATTATTTTATTTAATATTTTTATGCATTTTTTAGTGATGTATACTGGCGATCGCCTCCCTCTTTTTCTCTCATTCTTTCTCTCTCGCACGCTGTCTTTGGACCATAAAATATGTATAAAGTAATTTTTGAATTTAAACATCATGATTAACTAAACTACCGAGTGGCAGCCGGGCAGCCGGGTAGCCAGGCAGCCATGCAGTTAGCCAGGCGACCAGCCAGGCAAATGACTACAAATGATTACGCATTTGAGCCAAGCCGCAAAGTTTTTGGTGAAATTTCAGGAGGCAGCCTTTGCCTTCTATGGCCGGTCAGATGGACGGGCGATAAGCCGTGGAAAACACTGAAAACGAGCTCACTTTGAGAGCCTAAAATGCAGACTGGCCGATCGCTTGGTCTCTGACTTGGCCAATGGCCTGCACTTGTTGTACTTTAAGCTTTTTTTTCTGCTGTTGCTGTTGCTGTTGTTGTTGTTGCTTTCATTCAGGCTCTAATGGGTCGTGTCTTTGGCTGCCGCTGCCGCACTTTAATGTCTTTGGAGATCAGGTGTTGATGCTGCGGCTGCTGTTGCTGCTGCGGCAGCGGTCTTAAATAAGCATTTCAAAGACCTGGCTTCACATTTCAGTTGATTTCTGCGTAGATTGCACTTAAATGTTCCTAGCAACAGCATCTGAAATATTTATACCATGGCATTTTCTCTTCGCTTTGCCCTTATCTAAAGTATGCGCTAGAGAATACGCCAAGCTCTTTGCTCTCTGTGTTGTATGCAAATTTGTTAAGTCATTTCTGTTTGTGGTTCTCACGCTGCCACACCAGACCTCGAAATGCCGTCCATTTTTCCTATATGCAGAGTCCAAGCCCAAAAACAAAATAGTCATAAAACAAAATATCAAAATAAAAGCAAATCAATTGACAATTTGAACATTTAGTACTTGCTGCACGACTTTGACGGAGCAGGCAGGCCACAGAAAAAACACATGAACAACAGATCAAAATCGCATTCCCTATCGCAATCGCTGCTACAGCAACTGCACGCAAGCTGTCAATTTGATTTCGATTGCTGCCTGGCATCGATTACTCGATCTCGGACTGACCAAATAGGTTTATAATCAAGACAGCAAAGGCAGCAGCACCCTCCAGCTCCATGGGTAGCCAAAAGTTCAGACTCGTAGCGATATTTTTGGCAGCGGCTCGTTGCCTGTTCTAAATGGACGGCTTGTTATGCGGCTCGCAGAATCTATGCAAATGAAACAAAAACAGCGTGTCGCAGCGTCAGGTTTGGTTTTAGCCAAAGTCCAAGTGCGGCTTCAAGAGATTTACGAGCCGAGCGCGCCAAATGTGTTTACACTTTGTCACCCTTCTGTCAGTTTGATTTATTTGTTTGCAGATAGCCAGCAAAAAGCTGAGAAGGCTAAAGTAGCTGGCCAAATTAAAATGCAAGTATTGCTGGAATGCACGTCCAAGCGAACTGAGCCACAAGGTGAGGCGAGGTGGAACAAGGCGAATTGAGCTGAGCTGAGTGCAAGAAATGGGCGAATGAATGAGTGATTGACTTATGCAGCCAACTGACAAGTGGCTTAAATAAATTAATGTACATGTCCCCAAAGAGTCCGAGGGAAACTGTTTACTAATCAGAGGCGTGGATGGTGCTGCAAAAAAGAAACACCACTCAGATCGGGTTTTATTCAACTACTTTTGGCCATATTAATCTTGCGAATACATTAAAATTCAATTATATAAAATGAAGCATAGATATAAACACAATTTTTGTATAATATTTTGTTGTTGTAAAATTTAGAAGTTTTTCTTCAAATCAAATGATTAAATGAATACGCACTTAAAAAGTATTTTATATCTTCTTTAAAAAATTACAGCTCATTAACACTTAAAAATCCACATATTGGCCAACACTGAATACAAGATTTTGCGAACTGGAAATACACGCACAACAAATGATTGGCACTGAGGATATGTCCACATCGACTGGCATGGATATTAGTGAATCCTTTCGTACCGAGGATCTCTCAAAAACGGATTTCTTCGACTTCGTCACAGCTCCGGACATGGGCATTGGCATCGGTGTTGGGGTGGACGTGGGGGTGGGCGTTAGCCTGCAGCAGCAGCATCATCAGCAGCAGCACACACAACAGCACAACAGTCACAACCATAGCCAAGGTCATCAGCCAACGACATCACAAACGCCCCAGCAGGCCATCTGCGGCGGCGGGGCAAGAACCACCAGCAGCATGACACACGACGGCGGCGAGGGCGGTGGCGGCGGCATTCCAGTGAGCAGTCGTAATGGCAGCACCAGCAATGGCGGCGGCGGCGATCCCACGTTACAGGGCTACGAGGTGAGTTTTAAAGGCAAACAAGTTGAATCAGGATTTTCCGCCTATGTGCTAAAGCAATTATAATCATTTAATAACATCTTGTTCTCTGTTTTTTTTTTTTTGCTTTTGCAGTTTTGGCATCAGGACAAGGATACCAGCCGCCTTGACTCCAGCTCTATCTTCGAGGACCTCGATCGATACTGCTGGCAGCAGCAGCCGATCACAGCCAGCGCTACGACCACCGTTAACGCCAGCAGTGTGCGATGTCCTAACCAGCCAAGTCCCACCTCTCCGCAGTCGCATCCACACCCACATTCACATCCACATCAGCAGCAACAGCAACAGCAACAACAACAACAACAGCCCAATGCCAGCAGCTCCTCGAGTGCTGCGGGCAGCAGCAGCGATACCATAAGCAGCCTGGACACAACTGACGGCCAGATTTACACATTGACAGTATTAAATGGAGGCGAGCCTTGGCTAAAGCGTGCCGAGACGGAGCAACTGCCCAGCGCACTGGATTTGGATAGTTTGCTGGGCAGCTTTCCGGGCTATATCAAATCAGAATATCCTTACGATGACAGCGGCTTCAGTACGGATGGCAAGGATGTGATTGTCAGTGGTGCAGATGTCAATGGCCTCAGCAGTATTTCCCAGTCCCAGCCACACGGACAGACGCTACCCTCACTGGTAACGGCCATTTCCATAGCAGGTGGCGGGGTCAACGAGCTGGGCCAACAGCTGGCACAGTTTCAGAATAACAATAACGACTGGCACATGGCCGATCACAACGCGGAGGCGGAACAGAACTCTGCGGAATCGCTGCTGCGCAGCGCTCTTCAAGGCAAGGGCTACGCCAAGGGCCTGCACATGCAGAATGGTCTAGCATTGCCTGTGGTCAAGGATGATGAAATGCGGAGGCTACTCTTTACACCAGATGATGCGGCGGATGCTTTGGGCTTTGCGGACTCAACGCTAAATACCGCGCAAATGTTTGAGGATGCACAGGCCATGAGCCATGAAGCCGGCGGTACGCACATGTCCTCGTCGAATCACGGCCAGCATGGTGGCAATGCCAGCATCATTGTGGATGATATGTTCCTGTCGCTGGAGAATGCTTTTAGCGATGACTTTGAGAAAATCAAGCGCATTGCCAATGAGGTGCAGCAATTCTGCAGTGCCAACACGGGCACACCAACGCCTGGAGACTATAGCAGCAGCGATGTGCTCATGCAGATGTCACCGAGCGCGACAACAGCAGCCACAACACAGCTACAGCCCCTGGCCAATGCCCAACAGCAACAGCAGCAGCCACCGCCCCCACAGCCCCTCAAGCCAGAGGTGTCCACATCGACAACAGCCACCGCTGTGGGCACATCTGTGGCAGGTAGTCGCCTTGGTGGCGTTAGCAAGCCCAAGAAGCAATACAAGCGTAGCAACAGCAGCGCCAACAGCTCAAACAACAACAATAACAATAACAACAATAATCCTAATGTGGCCAACAACAACAATAACAGCAATAACAACAGCAGCAACGTTCTGGGTGTGGTCATTGGCAATGGTGGCAGCTCCTCCTCAAGCGGCAGCGCCAGCAGCAGCAGCAATAGTCCGCCTGCCAACTGCAACGCCAGCGGTAGCTCGGCCAGCAGTGGCGGTGGCCAGCGCAAGGAGCGTTCACTCCACTATTGCTCCATATGCTCCAAAGGCTTCAAGGACAAATACTCAGTGAATGTGCACATACGCACGCACACGGGCGAGAAGCCCTTTGCGTGCTCGCTGTGTGGCAAAAGCTTCAGGCAAAAGGCACACCTGGCCAAACACTATCAGACACACATGACCCAGAAGAACAATGGCAACCTGATCAAAGGCAGTTCCGCCAAGCATCAGCGTGGTGGCTCCAATGCAGCTAACTCCGGTGCAAGCCTTGGCCAACAGCGACAGCTCAGCGCGGTGGCCACCGCGGTGGCCAGCCCCAGTTTAATGAGCGCCGGCGTCGTGCTGAGTGGGCCAAATACGCCGCCTGGCGTATTGCCGCCTGCCAATGGTCTGCTGGCGAACCGGTAGTGTGCCGACCTTGGCTTTTATATATGTATAGGCTATGTTCCACAAAACAGCAAACTATTTCTTGTTCCTTACTAACAGCAAACAAAACAAAATGAAAAACTAAGATAACTACTTGAATACTCTTGGGAAATTATTTCCTAGAAAATGATCTTTCCTGATCGAAATAATGTCATTGATGAATTCCTATCTCAGCTTTCTGTGCAATTCCTATATCACAAACACATCAAGACAAAATCACAAACTCACTAAATGCACTTCCAAATAAAATACTCAATTTTATTTTATACCTAAAACACACACACACATAAACACACACAAATTAATTTTAAATGTGCCAAATTTAAAGCAAGATAAAATAACAAGCAATTTTAAATAATAATTAATTAATTATAGAAATAAAAAAGTTAAAATGAAGCTAATAAGCAAATTTACGAGTGGTGATATAAAATGAGGCCAAACGCTTCCTTGCAACAAATAAAATCTATGAACTCACCCACATTGTTTCTGTAACTAATTACGTTAAATAAATTAAATAATTATATTATAACAATAATTCAAATGTATTTTGAGAAGCGTTTCCTGTAAATTAAAAGTATTTCATTAGAGTTGCTTTGCCCAAATTAGCATAAGTTTCCTCAATGTAAATACGAACTAATTTAAGAGAAAGCCAGCAACGAGAACAATTTTGAACACTTCATTAAAATTAGTACAAGTTCTTTATAATAAATCAGAAAGTCCATTGGCATATAAATACGCCTGAGAAATACGAATTTATATATCAAACAATGTCTTCTCTTCAAGGATCTCTCATTCCAGGCACAAGTAACATATTTAACTCGTGCTTTTTTTCCTCCCAAATAATACTCACATTTTCGCAAATCTGAGAAGTGTTCAAGTTATCCACGTGTGTCAACCACTTACAGTTCATAAAATGCTTGAACGCATTGCACTTGCCATTATTTTTTTGTATTTGATATAGAATTCGTTTATATATTACTTGATAACTATTTCAATTTTCATAGTACTCATCTTCTTACACTCGCCGCTGTGTGAATCGCAAATTGTATGTACTATAAATAAAATCAGCTAATTTTATATCTAATTCTAAGCTAAGTAAAACAAATTGAATAACTATGGATAGTTAATGTTAATTAAACTGCCAATTATTATGTGATAGTTTTAATAAAAAAAAAATTTATTTTCTGGTGTTTGGGTTACGTTACATTTATTGTTATATACACTTACTGTGAACTTTGCAATATTTTCTAATTTATTGAATTTAGTTTATGTACATAATAATTTTTTGAATTTAAGCCCTTGTTTATACACACATACATATTGCGCATAGTTTTAGGCGCAATCAAATTACAATTTTAGTTAAATGTTTGTTAGTTATTATTTATGCAAACAAAAAGACGAAAAAATCAAAAAATACCAGCTACCCATTAGCAGTTAAGTCTTACATTAAATATTTAAGTATTGCAAGCATTAAACATCAAAATAAAGAAGAATAAAAAGTTTTATTGACAATTAAACCAAACATATCTAATTCATGGTCAAACCGAAAAGCGAACACATCAAAGTCTTGGACTCATTGTTAGTAACGGAGCGTTGGCATTGTGTTAATTAGTTTTACAGACCTGTACCTGGACAAAGATCATCAGGGGCATATAAATAATTTTCTCCCATAAAGGAAGCGCATGAAAGCGCATGCAGCTGTGCATGTCAACAGCAACAACAACAGCAGCTACAACGGCTGCAACATTACACAGGCGGCACTTGTCAGTCAAAATCAAAGTGCGCAGCTACTGCTGCATTAACAGCATCATCAGCGGGTTGTGCCGCAGCCGCAGCCTTGCGGTATTGTGGGGCAGGGGGCTGCAAATGCGTGCCGCATGCGCCAACAGCCAGCAAACATCAGTGCAGATTAGAGAAAATGTTTTACTCGCAGCGTCTTGGCCAGATCGGGCAACTGCAACGGCAACGTCTGCCTCACCGTGTGGCGTAGTGAGCGGCAAGTCATTTGAGATCGAAACATGTCGATTAGGGAATTTCAAGAGGCGCCAGTTACTGGCGCAGGTGGCTCATATCATCCAAGACGTCGTCTTCGTGGCACCTTGGGGGACCTGCAGCGGCAGCCACAATGAACAAGCATCTTAATTGCATTTGATGAACTTTGAGCCAAAGCACATTTGCACAACGAAACCCAGGAGCAGGTGAGCAGGGTACACAAATATGCGGACCCTGCACAAGCTTTTGACAAATTAATAGTCTGTGATGCTGCGCATTGAAAATAAAAGTGAAAAATAATTAAAATGCACGGAAATGCCCAACTAATCGAAAACAAATATATGAAATAGGTATTGGTATAGTAAGGCCTTACAAATGCTAGATTAGATTAGAAAGATTATAGCTAATAATAAGGTGGTTTATGCCTGCGTTGGCATCGGCGTCTTAACCGATTTAAGAACAGTTCAAGCAGCCAAACTGTTGTAGAAAATAATACCATGAAAGCAAAGCCATACCAAACATATTCCAGATCCTGTAGTTGCATGGCACGAAACTCTCTGCGCATACTGTGATCCAAGTATTGCAGTTCGCCTGCTTCTACAAGCTCCGAAAATCCCTTTGAAGTCCAGTAAGATGTTAAGCCAGAATCGGATAGTTCCATAATTAGCCTTTGTATGGGCTGCTTATAAATCGAATTTTCGTGCACCGGAAAACCGAGGGGAATATTATTGAAGAAGCAAAAATCATTGCGCATGCGAAACAGTGGCTGACTGAAGATGTTCTGTTGCTCGTTAATAACCACCCACTTGCTGCTTGTCATCATATAGCCATGTTTAGTGTCAAAGGTGTCACGCATGCGAATAAATTTACTAAAACTAGGCTCTACCAGAAACATCGGTGCGTATTTCCGGAACTCCGTTAAGCGTCCAATTAGCTCGTTATACTCCGACTCCCAGGCGGCCACTTTCAGATTGGAGGCCAGTATATCATCGTAGGTTCGATAAGGCGGCTCCTTGGGCGTACTGGTCACATAAGCCGAGAAGTAAGAGTTATACCAGGCCGTAAGCAGAAAGCCCAATAAACAGATCTGCACGTAGATGGCGCGCAGGTGTAGCGAAGCGCGGCGTACCTCATAAAAGGACTGACCCAGAGCTCCTCTCAAGCAATTATCATGCAGTATAAACTCGTACAGCTGCACCGAATACCCGTGGTGCTTCAGAACCGACGAAAGTGTCATGGAAATTACCACCAAGGCGGACAGAGTTAGCAAAAATGCCTGCAGCTCAAAGACATTGACATAATAATCGGCGTGTGGTATATCCGCTTCCACTGGTAGCATGAGGCACCAATTCAATTGCTCGTAAGGATAAGTAAAGGGCCGCATGTTGAGCTGGTCTGGAAATGTAATGGCCAGTGATAGGTCCACGGTGCCATTGCGCACAGCTGCCACTAGTTCCGTTGAAGGAACTAACACATTCGGCTTGACTGGAAACGGCTGCGTTAAAGTGCAATTCAATTTTTGCTGAAAGACATCCATAAAGTGGCCCAATGTGCCCCGATAGATTATATCGCCCTGTTTATTATAGTAGAGTATAATGCGCGGAGTCGCGCCGCCAATTATAATGCGCACTCCATAGCCGTATAGATTTTTCAGACGCTCTGGAAAGATGGTCGAGCTGGGATCATATACACGTTGCTCCAGTTGATAGCTGGGAAATGGCGTATAGCTATAGAAGGTGTTCGTAGCCTGGAATGTAGAATACGCAAATAAATATGTCAAATTTATTTCTGTATAATTTTTCATTTACTTCATAGTTCTCAAATACTGCCAACACATTCAGAAGATTCATTTTCCAGCAATAGGTAAACAATTTGTACAGAAACGTCTCATTGGCTTCTCCGATCTGCACCATAAACACCACCCGCGATATGGTCATGAGTCGCAAGTTGGTAACCAGTGCATTTAACAAACTCTCGTTCTCGTCTAAGTCCATGCCGATCAAATATACCACAGACAGCACTAGGCTGCTATGTTTGTCATACAGAAAATAATTAGCGTGTTCATCGAGTTGCACAACAGGCGTTTGCAGGCTTTCCATTAAGCTTTTCACAAAACAATTACCGTCAGTTGGATCCGTCATAAACTTGTCGGACACACGGGAATTGTGATATTTCATAAACAATAAATAATTGAAATTATCTTGTTTTTTAATGCTGCTCAGCAGTTGAAAAACTGCCGAGCTATCCGCTTCAACTGTTAGCCTGACAATCCAAAGCAAATGGCACAAAATAAACCAAGGACGATCCATGGCGGACATTGACGAATTACTGCAGGACACTGATTAATGCCGCTACTTTTTAAAAGGGTTGCTAATGAATGCGTTGCGGAGGCATGTAAAAAACTCAAATTAGCGGCTAACAAGCGCCGCACAAAAACTACACCCAAGAGGTTACAGGGGAAACACTGCTCTTACTTCATATATCAATTTACTGCGAAGTGCTTGATGACAGTGCCCTAGTTAATAGGTGACATGATGGCATAACTAATTAGAATGCTTAATCGTTTTTAGCTTAGCAATAAGTGACCCAACAATAAGTGGTATTATGAGTCAACTGTCTAATCTAACAATGTTTTTGGCAAATGTATAACCTGTGGTATTGCGAACTTAAAACAAAGCTGAAAAAATAAATATTCAAAAACAACACAAAAATAATAAAAAAATGGAAATACAGAGAAAAGTTTTTTTTTCAAAATAAAAATATGAGGAATAAAATCAAGGGGTTCAAGACGGGAGTGCACGACCAGGAGATACACCGAGCCTTCTTTTACCAAAAGCAGGAACACACAAATGTTTTAAACAACTGTTAAGAAAAAGTAATCGATTCCATCAACTAATGTTTCACAAAAATAAATATGCTCAATCATATATACATATACGTATACATGCATATATAAATACACATGAACACGATCCAGAGTGTGCTCGGCCTTAGACATAAACGAATTATTTGAATTTATTGTCTTTTTAATTGGTAAAAATATTTAAAGAAAAAAAATTGTATCTGCTGGGTTTGAACTCGCCCCGTCAACCACACAAGTGTCAGTTGGGTCTGTTATAAGCATATCGGTCACATTATTTAAATTATCTTGTTTTTTGATGCTGCTCAAAAGAACAGAACAACCTCTGCATATGATATGTTGATATGATAATCCAAGACAATTGGCACAAAATATTCCGAGGACGAGTCATGGCAGATATTGGCAAATTACTGCTTAAAGGGATTAGTTATGAATTCGAAACCCCTAAAAGTTCGATGTGTTGCATAGCACTACACGAATAAGAACGTCATAGGATATACAAGAAATCTATGTATAAACATATATTTATCAATTAGGAAAATTAGCAAATGCTTTGCTGACAGCAATCAAAATGGATATCATCTTTTCAGAATTGCTTAATAGCTCCTTTGGGTAATTCCTTAACAGAGCTATTACAACTAATCCCCAATTCTACTTAAATATTCATCCCATCTACTTTTATTAATTAAGGTGAAATTACCTTAATTTAAATATTTGAAAAAATTATTATTCCAATGTTTTTGCTGGCCAGTTATATAATTTTTATTCATATTTTTAATTTGAAAGCATAAAATGCTCTGTACTAATTTGAGCAACTTTTTATTTTAAATGAAATAATTGTTGTGCGATTCTTAAGCCCTCACGCAAATATCGTCTTAATCGCATTTTGTGAAACCATAGTTGCTCCAGCCCAAATATGGCCAGTGCCAGGGTCATCATCAATCCACCAGCCATTAGAATGTAGCTCAAGTCCATCAACTGCATGGCACGGAACTCCTTTGGCTTGCCCAGATCGACCAAACGCAATTTGCCAGCTTTAATCATTTCACTAAATGCCATGTCACGCCAATGAACCATGAGGCCAGTGGCGGTCACCTCGCCTATCAACCGCTCTAGTGGCTCCCTGAAAACAGAGTTTTCAGCAATGGGAAACATAATTGGAATGCCTTGATAAAAGCAGAGATCCTCGCGCATAGTAAACAATATTGAGCTAAAAACCATTTGCTGTTGCTTTATAATGTTCCACTTCTCCAGCGGCATCGCATAGCCATAGTGGGTATTGAACGAGTCGCGCATCTTTAGATATTTCTCAAAGTCCGGCTCGATCTTAAATATGGCCTCATACTTTCGTATTTGCCTATCGTAACTGAGCAGCGTTTGATACTCAGAATTCCAGACAACCACCTTCAGATCCGAGTTCAATAAGCTATCGTAGCTCGTGAATGGCTTCTGTTGTGGGGCGCTGGTGACATACGCAGAGAAATACGAGTTGTACCAGGCGGTAAACAAGATTCCCAATACACAGATCTCCAAATAAATGCCACGCACCAGCAAAGGCGCCCGTTGAACCTCATTGAAAGACTGGCCCAAAGCTCCCCTCAGACAATTATCGTGCAGCAGAAACTCATACTGTTGCACACGATAGCCATAAAGCCTCAAGCTGAATGATAATATTGCTGAGATCAGTCCCAATGATCCGAGTACAATCAGAAAGGTGGGTAGATCCAATACACGACTGTAGAGCTCGCTGGACGGAACTGGCTTTGGAACGGGCAGCATTATACACCAGTTAAGGATCTCAAAGGGGTACGTATAGCCCTGGAGAGGTAAACCCGGATAAGTTGCCGCCAAGGCGAACTGGACGCTGCCGTTTCGCACTGCTCCAATCAGCTGTCGTGCTGACACCAATGTGTTCTCGGTTAGCGGAACCGGCTGAATCAAGCTGCAGTTGTATTTCTGTTCGAAGCAGTGCATCAAATGGCCCACATAGCCGTTGTAGACTAGCTCCCCAGTTGGACGACGATAAACTATAAGACGTGGAGTTGATCCGCCGACAATAACTGGAAGTTTATAGCCGCGGAGATTTCGCAGGCGTGGTATTATAATTGGATTCGTTTTGTTTCTGATCAGCCGCTTTTTAAATTGAAATTTTGGAAAAGGTGAATAGCTGTACATGAGTCCGGTATCCTAAAAATATATGGCAAAATATTTCAAGGGGTGTTTCATAAAATTGTCAATATGATTTTATGCCAACAATATAATCAAAATAATAATGCTCCTGTTAACGAACAACCAAGCTAAGAAAATTCAAATCAAGTTATTTTACTTTTTTTACTCATCTAGGTAAATCTTTCAGCCAGATTTCATTTTGATTTATAAATTGTAAATATGGCTATGAAACTTTTGTTTTTTTTCTTCTTGATATGTCTCATTTTAGTTATCCAAGCTGCAGCGAATTCTATAGGCAAGTATCATGAGTGAAATCTAGAATAAATTCTTATAAAGGTATTTTCAGTTCACTGCAAACTTGCGGCCAACCATGGTCCATGCAAAGGCAAGTTCAAAATGTTTGCCTTTGACCCGTTCGATCATCAATGTAAACAATTCATCTATGGCGGATGTGGCGGCAATCCAAATCGTTACAGTACCTACCAAGAGTGTGTTGACGCTTGCAGCGGAATACATGCAACAAAAAATCCAAAGCCATGAATTGCAAGCACAGGCATAGGACATGACTTGAAAAAGCTACTGAAACATTACCTAATGCTACCTCTAGAAAATCATGAACCAAATTTAACCAATGTGATCTAGGCGAGCCGTAAAGCTTGATATTTAATAATATATATGTTATAAATACCTCAAAGTCTTCGAGAATCGCAAAAACATGCAGCAACTGTAGCTGTTGCCAGCACAATTTCAAGAGCCCTTGCACTTGCTCGGTTTTTTTGAAGACCAGTAGTAAGGGTTGCGTATTCCATAGTCTCAAATTCAAAGTCAGGAACTCAAGAAGTGCATGTGCATCATGCTCATCAACGAATGCAATGCTAAGCAAGTGACTGGAGTGATATCTATCTAGATGATAGCTGATATTCCAATTATCTTTAATCTGAACAGTGGACAAGGGCAGCTTCCACACCAATTGTGGCCATTCGGAGTTAGAGCTTCCAACGAGCAGCACATAGTCAAAATGTTCCTGTAGTTGCAGCTCCTGCACCAGCTCCGGAACAGTGCAAATTATGTTAGCGCCCAGCGACGACCACAAGCTGAACCAAAGAAGACACTGCCTCATATTATAGCTAGCTACCATTGACGAGTGCTGGGCACGAACCGCGACACAGCTCCTTTTATACCGACCCCAAAAAGCTGCACGAACCTTTCACATTAGAAAAACCCAGTGGGAGACGTAATAATTCTAAGTGCATTTTATTTAATTGGACTTGCTCGCTACATCTCAATCTCAGAAAAGATCTCCGAGGAAGATGGGAGCAGCTCGCCAGGCTTGTATTCGCGGTCGTTATTGTAAACTTCACCAAGTGCACACAGATTGTTATAAGTACTGTCGCGCTGCTTGCACAGACTGCCGGCCGTAGCCCTTACTTTGTATATGGGCTTATTTAATAGGTTGTCGGTGGCAAAGGTACAGGTTATAAAAAACTGGTTGACCATGCCATTTGACAATCTCATTGCGCTGCAGCCTACATGTGTGTTGCGGTCCGCCATTAGTAACACGGCTTGACGTACAGTTCTATGAAAGGGTTGGAAATATTAATGTAAGTCTATGGCATAATCGGTCCATTACTAACGGTCGAGAAAAATCGTGTTTCAAACGCAGCGACAATTCCCTTGTCACAAAACGTGCATCTTCGAACCATCCGTTTAGCAACTCCTCCGTTATTTCAGGAACTTTATGCGATTTTTGGCTGCCCGAGTAGGAGAGCCCATCGTATATGCTGCCAATGGCTGCAAACTGTACCGAGGCCATGCAGGGACGCGGAGAATATACGCATTTCTTAATATACATTTTCGCAAAGTCTTCCAGCTCGTTAGACCAGGCCATACGGGCCATTCGTCCGGCTGGAAACAAAGTGCGCGTATAGCCAGCGGCCACTTTATTGCGAAAACTGTTGAACTGGTGCAGCAGCAGCTCTCTGTAGGGTGACAAGCTAACCACCTTAGAGCCAGGCGTGCAAGCTACGCTCATGTTCTATATGAAAACCAAAATTACCAATATGATTCAGATTATTACTAAACTTACTCTTGAATTCCTGCATGCCACATTCTTAATGCCGCAGCGTGCAGTTTTACAATAGGCGCCCAGTTCGGCATGTTTTGATGCCAAGCTGCCGAAAGGAAAAAAAATCGATATCAGCAGTAAAGCGAAGAACTGATTATTTATCAAGGACATTTCGATTTCAAGCTCTGAATAGAAAATAAAATAAAACCACAGCGCATTTCCATTTTTATAGATTTTGTATGCAACTTGGCGGTTGCAAAACACAGCTGTGAAACCTAATAAAATTAAAACCAATTGTTATACTCTTGCAGAGGATATAATAATTTTGTTGGAAAATGTGTAACGCAAAGACGGAAACATCTTCGACTTCATAAAATATATAAATATATATAATTCAAATAAAATCAATTCCCAAATTTCTGGTAAGATATAGGTGCGGACAATAACAAACAAGAAATAAAAAAGAAGATTCAATGCGATTTTACTGAAGACATAATAAGTGAAGGTGCCAACAATCCGAAGAGTATTTAGCGGTCGGCGTGCCAAAGATGTCCGTTCTTAATTGTTATATGACAGCCGGTTGGTAATCTAAATTAAAGGAAATGAACATAGAGACTTTTAACCAACACAAAGACGTTAACTGGAAAAAACATGCAATCAGGAACTACTTCTTTAAAGTAAGAGTAACTGCGTACTATTGCGAATGTTCTGGATTTCAATATAAAACGCTTGACAGCAGCTCAGCTGAAGAACCCGATAAAGAATAAATATTTCTAAATTAATTATTTTTTCGATGCATATGGATATATTTTTATCAAACGATCAATAAGGTCTGCTGTACAATATTTGGTACTGACAGCTAGAGTCCACTTATTTAATTGAAAATTTCACAAGCTCAAGTTTTTGAAATGGAAATATGGATATAATCGTAATGAGCTGTCGCAAAGCAACGCAACAGACGAAACCAAATCCAAAAGAAAAACTTAAATGAGGCAAAGATCTCGTTCATGTTTCATGTTTCAAGCTGCCTGACAGATGATCACTCTTAATGATGCTGCCAGCTACAGCAAGAGCAACACAACAACAACAACAGCCACAACTCTCATTATTTTTCAAGCATTTTTTATTTTGGTTACTACAAGTTTTGGTGCACTTCACTCGATTTGGCAGATGCGTCAGCACTTGACCCGCGCTGGCTCCAGCTCAGACTCAGACTCAGACTCGGACTCCATCTTCGACTGTGTCCCATGCTTGTTAACCGCCAAATTGAGTTGACGTTGACGTAATGCCGCGCCACTCGAGTAGGTCTCACTTTTTTTTATGATGAAGTGCAGCATCTGAGGCCGCTGTTGTCGGTCAATTAGCTGCACATATCACAAAGCCAGGCACAACACACAACAAAAAAACAGTGGCAGAATGGAAAGCCTACCACCGCATGACAGCCCAACTTGGGCTGGGGGTCACATGGAGTCTTTAATTGGCATCAGTTGCGGCTACGACGACAATTTGTTGGCTTCCTCAAAGTTCATAAGTGCATTCACAGAATATTTTTTTAAATGATTATGCTCTGAAGTATTTTTGACTACAAAACACTTAATCAAAAACAATTCCAATTATTATTATTATTGCTATTTTTATTACTATTATTATTAATAATATTAATGATTATGATAATGATCATAACAAACTGTTAAAAAATTTAATTCTGTTAGGTTTCGACAGAGTTTAAAATCACGAATGAAAATTCATTGGGAGTTTGGGAACCTTACGAGAAAATATTTTTTCTATCGCTTTTTGCAACAACAAAATAGACCCCTTTAGCATCTTCTTTAATATTGCATCCCGAGCTAACTTCAATATCAGGAATCCATCAAAATCATATTGTGGAAAAACAAAGACAGATTAAATTAAAGATGCCAAATGAAAGTAGAGAATATACCAAACTATCGGCAAGTATAAAAATCTCTAGTTTCGAAAAAGTTTTTCTAATGGAATGTTAATTTGCCAGAGGAAAATAAATAGGTGCAAATTGTCGTTTCCTCTCAGCACACATACTTGATACTTATATTTATAAAACCACTTTTAACTAGATAATTTCTACAGGTTTCTTTAAAAGGAACTGTTTTTGGATGTTCACGCGGTAAGCAATAGCAACAGTAGCTGCTCCTGAAACTGAAAACCATTCTCCCAGCTCTGCACTGTTTCTTTCGAGTGTCATATTTGAGTTTGTTAGTAGCTCTAATCTGGTAAGTCGGCTGTCCAGTCATTGTCGCTGTTATTGTTAAAGGCCACAAGACAGGCTCGGGCCAAATGCAGCACCACCAGCCGCCCCACTCGATGCTGCCACACGGCCCGGTCGCTGAATAAGTGGCGCAGAAACAACGCGCTCCACAAAACGGTAGCCTTTTTGGAGTAGCCGTACACCTAACAACAATGGAATTGTTGTCGGTCAGCAGTTGGGGCTGGCATATTGAAAAGCGAAAGAAATGGTGAAAATAGCAAAAGGCCAAATGCGGACTGACAAAATGTGTATACACATATCGGTCGCTATATGTATGATAAATGGCACAGTTTAAAGCAAGTCAAGCACTGGCGATTGTCCAGCGCTCGCGCTCGCGCCGCGGCACAATGTAAATTTCCATAGACTATTTTGGAGTGTTTGGCCTTTAAGTAGTCCTTCTGTTAGCCACATCTTAAACAAAGTCAAAACTGTGGACGCAGCCTATTTCGCTAGGTCGTCGAGGCTGTTGCAGCTGCCCCCCAGTGCTGATTTATGAAAGGGTCTCATAATTTACCACAAATATGGTCATAATTTTTGGCTTTTACTTTTTCGGCAATTCGGCTGGATCGCTAATGAAGCAGCTGCCGCCGACATGAAACTGAAAACTGAAGCGCGGTGCTAATTTAAGTGGCCGCCCGATGGCCACTTGTTGCTCGTTCGGATCATTGCTATAGCCATTGTTGGCATCGTTTCCTAGCAATCAGCGACAAAACGTGTCATTCCTAGACGGCAGTCTCAGACTGGCCAGGCTGTGGCACACTATAATCAACATTAACGTTGCCAACCAGCCAGCCAGCCAGTCGCCTACAATGTGGAGCAATGTGAGCAATCACGTCCGGCTGCATCCTGGCCTGAACGCTGATCGCTGGCCGCTGGGCCGCCGGCCGCAACGTTCAGCCACGCTTCAATAAATGTCACTCCTCGAGCTTTGCATCTAAAAATTGATGACAATAATTTGTTGCATTTGCCCGAGGGGGTGTGGCAGGCCAGCCAGGCAGCTAACCAAGCGGCCGACAATGCGACGGACCAACAAATTGTCTTGGCAGACAGTTGGCTCTAGCTGTCCCTGCCAGCGTTGGTGTTCGAGCTGGTTCAACTTGGACGCGACGCGACGGGACGCGATGCCCGCTGCCGTTTTTCGACACAATTTATACAAAGTGTCGCAGTTTTTGGCGCTTTGCATTTGTTGCTGACAGCAGCATGCCCCCGTGCCGCACCGTATGGCAGTGTGCCACGCCCCAGTGCACAGCCCCTATTGGCTGTTAGAGCAATGCGACTGCACTTTGCAGCAACAAAAATGATACATAAATTTCGTCATTTTGTCGCAAGTCGTTTGTATACCCTAACCGCAACAGGGTTAGGCGGGGCCAGTCGTTGATTGCAAAGCGCTTTACGAATTGTTTTCCCAATTCCATGAAAATCAACACTTAGTTTTATGCATGCTTATTTATTTATTTATTTAGCTGCAGTTGTCGCTGGTCGGCTGACTGGACTGGCTTTGATTTGATTTCGATTGAACATTTTTCAATTTGATAAATTTATTGAGTTTCACGCCGCACTTTCCGACCAAATACAAATCACCTGCGATGCCAACGTTCGCGATAACACACAAGCGAAATTCAATACAAATTATAATGGCTCCTATACTGCCACTGCCACTGCCACTGTGATTCCGTGCAAGTGGTACCCTTATGGCCATCGCCTTGTAAATGGCATCAATTGCGACCTTTTGCCATTCTTACGGAAACATTTCGCTAATGAAACCGATACCTCA